TTTACACCAAATATTTGTTTAATAATTAAATCAAATGCTCACTATCAATAAAAGCTTTTAGATGTAATTTCGCAGAGATCAAATTCCGTTATTCATTTATCCTGCATTATCAAATACCTGCTCCTAAATCCACTAAGCTAGATTGTTGATAAATGAAAAGTACACATAAAACTAGCACGTGAACGACCGCTTACAATGTCAAGTTCAACACATTGGTGCTGATAAACTATAGATCAGCTGGTGATAAAATGCAGCCCGTTCCTTAGAACCATAGTTTTGGCACATAGTAACTGCACACTTTACACGCGATTTCTGCTATGAACAGCGTCGGATTCGCTCAAATATTCGCAATTTTTTTGACCCGCTGCAATTGGTCATCGAATTGAAAAAAATCATTTCGAAAGCACATGAAAAGCTGGCAAAATCTACAATTTGATTGCAACATTTGGCAAGTAAACAGGCACAAACCCGTGCCAATTTCCAATCGTTTCACTTTCCGAGATAAACGGATTGTAATCCAACACTGCCGGATCCATTCCAGTGCGAGCAGGCATTAAGAGTAATGAAATACCGAGCGTGTGAACAGTGTACACACTCTTATTGTTCAAGGGGCATTGTTTTGACCAGATCGATTAGCTCCTTTGAGGTTTTCGTAACAAAGTCACGTACCGACATATTGGGTGTTGCTGAAGTTGCAGAGCCTCGCCCCAAGGCAACCAAATCAATCTTCTACACTGAACAGCCAGAGCTTTTTTTAAACATTCACACCTTCAATATATGGCAACGTTAGTGTGTACTCAAACACTCTATATATTGTATAGAGGCGCTTCTTAGGTTGCAAGCTTTGAGCACACATGTAAAATATTGTCGTTTCTAAACGATGATAGCCTGGCGGCTTATATTCAATCAATTTTTGCGGACAAAACAGATTTGCTCCAATGAATGGAGCGCACTTTACTGTATTGGAAACTTCCCTTAAACACATTTTCAAAGCTTGTGTGGAGTTTGGCCGAATTTTTACAATTTGGTGTCACACGAGGAGAGTTGCAACAGACAATTTGCCACTTTGGTTTTCTGGTGTCTCTAATCTACTGTTTGCAAACTCATTTTAAAGAAAGATGGGACAATGCTGGTTACTGAGAATAGAGCGACTTTTTCTCAATAAGAAACGTACGCCCGTATGACCTAAGCTGATATTCAATATGTATGGAATTGAAGTCAGGGTTTTATTTATTTGGCAAATCGCTTTATGAGGCGGTTTGTCTCTTCGAGTACAGATATTTACGGGCAACTGACTTGCAATAATTGAAACACCATTTCGAACCTCAAAGATTTTTTTATTCATCATTAACTAGTGAAGAACAACAATGGAACATTGTACAATGTTAATGTTAAATGAGTTTCACAAACAAGAACCGTTTTGTTCGATGTTTAGTCGACAAGGTCTCATGATCGCCTTTTTGGGGAAAACTTTCAAAATAAAATTTGAGCTAATTTCTCAGTTCCCAAATGTAATCTGATTCAGTGATGCATAAAATGACGCATTTCCGTGCCGAATAATCCTTTGCTGCATGCAGTTGCCCGATCTTGTAAGGCAATGATTTTTTTGTTCTTTTTCAAATTCAAAGTGAAAGCTTTATTGTGAATAATCCGCTGAACGCTTAACAAAGTGCGCCTGCTGGTGTGATGCAATGAACCAAAACTTGGAAAATTCTCATAGATCCTGGGTAAAAGTAGGTTTTCGCTGGCTTATTTAGTGTTTTATGTTCTGGCTGATTCTTCGGGCTGTTATCGAACTTCCGGCTCCACTTAGAAATTTTTTCCAGTCGGTTTGATGCAGCAGATTATCTATCCAGTCTGGCTGGAGAGACCAAACCCATTCGGAACTGGGTGCTCGTAAAGAAATCCATAAAAGTCGATCTAGTAAAAACTCATTTTAATGACCGAGTTATATTGCCCGAGCATTGTGCAGAAACTTACAATATTTTACGAGAGTTTTTTCCCCAACTTAATGACCAAGTCTGGTGTATCGGCAAAATGAAACATCGGCTTTTAAAGGGGAATTTTAAATTTCAATCGTAAAATTTCCGGATTAAGTTCGATTTGTTTCTGGTCGTGGATTGGGACGAAGATTTGGTCAAAGTTGGCAAATATTCTTGAAAATTTAGGTCATTTGCTTTTAACCGGCTTTCGACTTATTAACCGTCGAAAAAATCGACCCTCCCACATGAAAATTTCGATCAAAAATAAAAATTTTACATTCGTGTTTTTTGTGCTCACTGGATCGTTTCCGACGTAAGAAGCTTCCCAGTTTGC